CTCCCTCCTCCCTCCCGTCCTCCGCGGCCGCACCTGCCGCTGCCGCTGCCGCTGCCACCACCTCCCGCCGGCTGTCCGCCGGCCGCCCTCGGCGCGTCACAGCCCGCGGCCCCTCCTACGCTTTCGGAGATGGGGCCCCGCACTCGACACCTGGCTGAGGGGCGCCTCTCCGCGTGCCTCAGTTTACCGCCAAATGCCAGCTGCCGCGGGGAGCGCCTTCCCCTCCGCACTGGCGGGAGGCAGCAAGGAAGCGGCCTAGGGTCCGGGAGGAGAGAACGGCCCCCGCCGCTGCCTCCCCGGGCCCCAGCCACCCGCCGTTGACATGGTAACCGACGGCCGGCAGGGGGCGCGGCAACGCTGGAGGCGGCGAAGGAGCAACGCCCAGGCCTTCTAGCGCTGGACCCCCTGTTCTCTGGGAGGCAGGGATGAAACCTAGAGGATCCCCGCCCCCATGGAGCTGCGTGAGCCTTGGCGTCAGTAATCACAAAAATAGCATTTACTCAGCACCTCTGTGTACTCAGGAAGTGCTGGACGTTCCCTCTGAATCCTGAATCAACAGCCTCATAGTAAGGATCACTAACCCATTTTACAGAAGAGGACATTGAGGCTCAGAGAAGTGAGGTCATTTGCCCAAGGTCACACAGTGACAAAGCTGGGACTCGAACCTGGTCTAACTGAAGCGGATTCTCCTGACTCAGGCTGTTTACAGGAGTATAGCAGTGGTGCTGTTTGAGGCCTGCTGTCCTTATGCCAGGCACCAAGCCCACCATTCACCCAGTATCTCCCTCCATGGCCCTACGCCCCCTTCCCCTGCCTCAGCCCTTCCCCAGCATCTTCCTGATGTCTTCCTGGCTCCAGGAGGCCTCCCGATTCTTCCTCCAGCTCCACCCCACAACAGCCAGCCCCCAGCAAAGCTGTCTTCTACCTCCTCTGTACCCCTTCGACCTACCCGCCTCTTCATTCCTCTGCCCATGGATCTGGAGTCCTGGCCTCCCCAGTCTGGCCTCTCCATCTGTCCCCTCACAGCACCCGCCAGATCATTCTGAAATAGAGTCTGCGTGTATTTCCCTCCACTCCCTTGAGGAAAAAGCAAATTGTGACATTTGAGGCTCTTTCCAGCTCCCTTCCTAGGCCCCACGAACCTCCTCAGTGTTTCCTAACTCCCCAGGCCATCCTGCCTTGAAGGCTGTGCTTCCTAATTGTACCCCAGAACCCTCTCTACCTGTATGAAACCCTCCAGCTCTTACCCCACATGCTTAGCTTGGAAGCCTCCTTGGAGGAGGAGGCAGGAGTGGGTCTGGTGATCCTGGTGTCCCAAGAGACCCTGTTCTGGGCAAGGCCCCTGCCAGGGAGGGCCCTGTGGGTCGGGTGAGGAGCAGGGAACCCTCTCCTGAGGGCTGTGTGGAGCCAGCGAGGGTTTTAGGTACTCGAGTGACATATCAGGGAGTGATCTGGGATCAGCTTCATGGGTACACTGTTAGAAGCAGGGAGGTCATTGGCTAAAGTGGGGGTGGCGAGGGCAAGGAGGGAGAAAAGAATAATTGTGATAATTACAATTTACTGAAGGAAAAATAAATGGTCCAAGCTGTGCATGTAGCATTTTATGGGCATTGTCTCAATTCTCAGCCAAATGAGTTGAGTACTATTATACACATAAGGACACTGAAACTCAGCGGTGACATCACCTGGCCAGGGTAACACAGCTGGCCAATGGCCACACTGGTATTTTGAACTAGGCCAGTCTGGCACAAACCCCAAGCACTTACCCTTGTCAGGCCCCCACTTCTCCGGACTAAGGATGGAGCAGAGTCATGGCACAGCACCCCAGGATGAGTGCCCTGGATGCGGATGGGAGGTGTGGGAGAGGATTGTAGCACTGGGGACTGTCATGGGTGTGTATGGGTGCCACCATCAGTGTCTCAGGCCGGGGCCCCTGCCTGCTTTCCACGAACCCTCCTAAGTCACATCCTGTGGGCAGAAGCCTTAGCAAAATTTCCGGTGATGATGTTGTCACCTCCACCCTACTGTCCCTGACCCAAACTCCAATATCACCAGTCACTTCACTTCCCCTCTGAGCCTCGTGCCCCCAGCCTTTCCTGGGGAAAGTGGGTAGGCAGGAGTGGTCAGATGGCTGCCCACGTGAAAGTGAGAAGAAATGAAGTT